TCGCCCCGCGGCCCGTTCGGCGGGGCGCGCGCGCCGCGGGGCGTGGCGCCGAGCCGGCGCGCGCGCTGTCGCGGCCGGGCCCCGGTAGCCCAGCGCGCCGTCGCGCCGCGGCCGACAAAACTCGCCCGGGCGCCAGCGCCCGCTGCCCAGCGCGGATGGCATTCAGGCGACGCCAGTCGATGCAGCACGCGGGGCCCACTGCGAATCGCGGCGAGCCAGCGGGCGCCGCGGGCGCGCGCGGCACCCGCGGCGAATCCCCAGGCGGCAGGGCTCCTGAGCCGGCCCGCGCGGGCCCCATCCCTGCCCGCGCCGCGCTGGCCATCTCCGCCGCTGCCCCCTTCGAGCTCATCGCGGGCGAGGCGCCCCCCGGAAGATATTGGACCCCCCCCGAAGCGCGCCGCTAAATCGGCGCGCCCGCGCCGAGACGGGCGCGCCGCGAACAAGTCTGGCGAGTCCGCGCCAGCCGCCTTCGCGCGGCGGCGGGCGACGCCGCGGGGCGCCGCGGTGGCGCGAGCCCTCGAGCGCCGCGACTGTCAGGGAAACCTTCAAAAACGCAGCCGGGGCGCGGGCTGGGCGTCTCTCGCCGCGCGCCTCGCCCCAGCACTCGCACGCTCGGCGGCGCTGGAAAGGCGCGCGCCCGCGCCGAATCCAGCGAATTGCTGCCGCGCCCCCGCGGCAGAAAAACCCCGGCCAAGTTCGCGGGTCGCGGCGCCTCAACCTTGAGAAAGCGAAGCTTTCAGCCGCCGTCGGGCCGCAGACTGCCGCGGGCAGCGCCGCCGAGGGAACGCGCAGCGCGATCGCGAAGGGGCGGGTATATAGCGCGGCTGCATCGGTCTGCACCACTAGAAGCTCAGCATATCTAGTGGCAGCGAGCGACGGACAAGCGACGGCGCCGCCGCGGGGCGCGCGCGTCGCTCCACGCGCGCCCCCCAGGCGCCCCCGACCACGGCCCAACGGGGGCCCAGACGGCGGCAGCCCGACGCAGCCCGCTCGGGAGCGCCCCCCGGCGGCCTGTCTCGGCCCAATGGGGGCCCAATCGGCCCGATGGGAGCCCAATCGGCCCAATGGGGGTCCAATCGGCGGCAGCTCGACGCGCGCCCGCCCGGCGTTCCAGCGCCGCGGATGTCCGGCGCCAAGCTGAGCGGGTCGGGCGCCGGGGGCAATGCGCCCACGGCGCGCCCGCCGAGACGCCGGGCACGCGCGTCGCCGACGCCTGCGCGGACAGGCCGCGAATAAGATTGCCGGGAATTGCGGCGGCGCGCGCGTCGGCAAACCCCCGGCCCGCCGTGCCGCTGCCCCTCGCGGAAACGCACCGCGAACGCGCCGGATCGCCCGAGGGCCTCGAAGCGGCCGCACTGGCGCGCCTCGCCGCGGCCGCCACCTCGCGGAGCCGCGCCTTCACAAGGGCGCTCCGCGGAGCCCGCGGCGACCGCGCGAGGGGCCTCGCTGGCGAGGTCGCAGTGCTCTCCGACGACGAGGGCGACTCTGTCGGGCTGAATCCTAGAAGCCCCTTGCTCGTTTTCACGACGCACGCGCCCCTGCCGAACTGCCCAGGCGGTGCGTGCGCATCCCGCGGCGACCGCCGCAGACGCTGCCTCGGCGCTTGCGCCGCGGCTCGCAGCCTGGCCGCCCGCGCTCGCCGCGGGCGCCAGGGGCGGCCCAATCGGGGCGCGCCACATTGCTGCGACCAGCCCCAACAGCAATTATGCGCCCTGGTCGCCTGCCTCCCGCGACGGTCTTTGGCGGCAAGCGCGCGGGCGCCGCGCCGGCGCCTCGCCCCCTGACCCCGACCCTCCGCCATCGGGGCGGAGGCCAGCGCGCCAAACCCGCGGGGCCCGATCCACAACGCAGCAAGGCACAGTCGGGCCAGAGCCCGCGAGGTCTGTGGACGACACATCGCCACCGGGCAGCGCGCGCATCGCGCCCGCGCGCAGCAGCCAGGCACGGGCCCCCGCCGCTGGCGGCGCGGTCGAGGCTGCGCGCGCCAACGGCGCCGCGGGCCGTTGGAATCCACGGCCAGGCTAGCCGCGCCGGCAGCTGGAGGAGCCTCAGCAAGCCTGGCCGCGCCACGCGCCCAAGCTCGCGCCAGGCCGCCCCGCGGAGAAGCGCTGGCGCCCCTTGGCCGACGCACCCAGGCTCCGAGCACAAGTGCCCGAAAACCGGCCCGTGTACGCCGGCTGACACCGTTGCGACGGCCGCGACAATCGCGAAGCCAGGCGTCGATCGCGCCCGATCGGCGCAAGCGGTGTGCGGCCCGCTCGACGCGCCGAGTGGCCTTTTCGGATACTCGCGAACCTGCGCCAGGGGCTGCGCGCACAGCACGGCGGCGCCCGGCGCCCAAATCGCGATGCACCTCGGCGTCGCTCCGCTGCGCAGACCAGTCGATGGCATCGACGACCTCGGGCCGCAGCCTGGAGGGCCGCCAAAACACGGCGCGTCGCGCTGCCAGGCCGCCGCGCGCGGGCGCCTGGCGCGCGCTCTCCCTTGGACGCGGCGCCCGCGCGGCCGTTCCGCGAAGCCGCGCGCCTTCTCCGCCGTCGCCTGGCTCCCGTTCGCGGGCGCCTGGCGACAGGTGGCGGGCGTGAGATGTTGCATCCTCCCCGGCCACCTGTGCTAACAACGTCGGGTGGTCGAGCGGCCCAGCGGGCCCCGCCGGCCGACACGGCGGCCTGCGGCGCCGGCGCCTCGCGCGCGCGAGCGCGCTCGTGCCTGCCTACCAAAGTGCCTTTGCGGGCCCGCAACTCGGTTTGACTGTACTGATGTAGCAATAACTCCGCCACGCGCGCAACAGCCGCCATGGCGGCTGCAACCCTGGGAGCCGCGGCACGGGCAGTCGCTACAGCGGCCACGGCGGAAGCCGAACGTCGGCAGCGGCCCAGGCCAACGCCGCGGCAGGGGAGGCGGTCCCGTTCAGGGGGCGCCTGTGCGGCAGCCCCCATCCCGCTCCCACCCAAGCCGGCACCAGGCAGAGGAACCATCAGCCCGAAGGTGGCGCTGGCGAGGGGCTTGGAGGCTGAACGCGCCCACCCTCTTCCCAGCCAGGGAGTACGTCCCGCCTGGGCGCTGCGGAAAGTTGCGAGCCCGATTCCAAAGCCAACACTCACGGTTTCTTTCCAAATGGGCCGAGGCGATACGGAGGCGGTAGCGTGCGACCGCGGCAAGGGAAGAAGAAGCAGCAGCAGCAACGGAAGCCAAAAATATGGAGACGCACGTTAGAGTGAGGGGGCTGAACCGAACGGTCATTCACTGTCCCTGGGTGCGTGGCTGAAGTGGAATTCCGCGGTACGGATTATTGTTGTTGTTTGTTGTTTGTTGTTTGTTGTTGTCGTCGTCCCACCCGCGACCCGCCCCGCGACCCACCCGCGACCCACCCCGCGACCCATCCGCGACCCATCCGCGACCCACCCCGCGACCCACCCGCGACCCACCCTGCGACCCACCCACCACCCACCCGCGACCCACCCGCGACCCACCCCGCGACCCGCCCGCGACCCACCCCGAGATCCACCCGGCGACCCACCCGCGACCCACCGGCGACCCACCCGCGACCCACCCGCGACCCACCCCGCGACCCACCCCGCGACCCACCCGCGACCCACCCGCGACACACCGCGACCCATCCGCGACTCATCCGCGATCCACCCCGCGACCCACCCAAAATTGTCGGCGCCTGCGGCGGGTTCTTTTGCATCGTTCCAGGTGGAGATCCTGCGACCCACCCGCGACACAAACCGCGCCCCCGACCCGCCCGCGAACCACCCCGCCAACCACCAAAATTTCCGGCGCCTGCGGCGAGTTTCTTCTGCATTCGTTCCAGGTGAAGAACCTGCGACCAACCCGCGACCCAAACCGCGTTCAGTGTACAAATCAAAATGTTCGGCGCCTGCGGCGGGCTGTTGAATTCCTTTCAGGTGGAGGTGGAGAGCCCGCGACCCAATCGCGACCCAAACTGCGTTCACTGAACAAGCCAAAACTTCGGCGCTTGCGGCGGGCTTCTTTTGCATTCGTTCCAGGTGGGGAACTTGCGACCCAAACCGTGTTCAATGTACAAATCAAAATGTTCGGCGCCTGCGGCGGGCTGATTTCGAATTCCTTCCAGGTGAAGGTGGAGAGCCCGCGACCCACCCGCGACCCAAAGTACGTTTACTGAACAAGCCAAAACTTCGGCATCTGCGGCGGGTGTCTTGTGGATTCGTTCCAAACAGAGGAGGAATAGGAGGAAGAGGAGGAGGAGGAGGAAAAGAGGAAGAGGAGGAGGAGGCGGACGACGACGAGGACGAGGACGTGGACGAGGAAGAGCAGGAGGAGGAGGAGCAGCAGGAGGAGGAGGAGGAGGGCGCCATCGACAGGGAAGGTGAGGGCCACGAGGTCCGCCGGCTCGACGCCCGCGTCGCCCGCGCCCGCCCGCCCCCTCACTCTTATCCGCAATGCGGGGTGCGACGTACAGACACATTTACTTCGGCGGCCGCGCACATCTCATCGCGGCGGTCAGAGCCGAGCGGAAACGGAAGGAAAACGGGGTGACGCGGCGGCCAGGGGAGCGAGAGCGACAAGATGCGGAAGCGAGGCTTGAGAGAAGGCAGATGCGGAAGGGAACAGGGAAGGGGGGCACGTGAACCCCCACACACACTTACACAAACACACACACACACAAGCACACGCACACACACAGACAGACGGACGGACGAACGGACGGACAGACAGACAGACATATAGACAGACAGAAAAGACAAGACAAGACAAGACAAGACATGACAACACAAGACAAGGCAAGACAAGCACACCCAAAAGCATGTTCGCACCAGTCGTCGCGTGCTCTTTCGCTGGCTTTCTCTCACCCGCACGCCTGCAGGCACTCACCGATACACGCACGCGCCAAGCTCTGAAGACTGACTCGGCCACGTGCGCTCGTAGCATGCGTCCACGCGCGCGCAACGTTGCAACACCACAAATGAATGCTCGACAAGATGGTAGCGCGAACCACGGGGCGATAACGGGGCCTGCATCTTCTCCAACTTCTTCTTTCTGGCCAGGATGTCAACCTTCGATCCGCTGCGTCGCGTCCACGGAAAGACTCCACACGAACGAAAGGAACATCAAAGACGCGTAACGCGCACTCCAAAATCAAAGATGCCTCGATGAGATCCCCACGCGTCGGGCCCCGCGATGCGCGACGCGCGGTTCACTTCGCGTTGCCCCGTCCTGAAGAAAGCAGCTCTCCAGTCCGAAACGCAGCGCGCGAAGCGCGATCAACTTTGCCCACCGCAGGTGACTTGAACTCTGCACCCTCCGCTCTCTATTTTTCTCTCTCTCTCTCTCATTCTCTGTCTCTCTCTCTCTCTTTCTCTCCCTCTCTCCATCATCTCTCTGAGTTTCCCCAGGGGTCGCCCCCCTGCAAGCTCACAGTGTCTGTGCAACCCCCGGGGGTACAATCCAAAGGCATGAGCGAAGGGAAGTCCTGCCTGCCTTGATGTGACCCCCACCCGTGGGAAGAGGGATGAGGAAGGCCAGGAAATGGTCCTGCCAGACCTCTGGGCTCGCGATGGTTGGCGCATCAGCCCTTCCAACGCACACGGGCCATGAGTTGCCGAACCTGAAGTCGGAGGGACCTCAGGCGTGAGCACGGGAGGGCCGAGGGCAACCCAGGGTGGCGCTAACACGAGAGTCGGGACTCTAGCCCACACAACCAGAGGCCAACCCACGAGGAGGCCACGGAACACAGACGACCGAATGAAAGATCGAGGCACCACCCCACGCACGGGAGGGGGGGCCGCGAGCCACGGCAAGGCCGCAGGCCATCGACCTCGCAAACGACGGCCTCGAGCGAAGGCCACTCGCGGGGCGCCCGAGGGTGCTCCAGCGGCCACGAAACCCAGCAACCCTGCCTCGTCCAGAGCCCCTCCCGCTCCCCCCTGCGGGCGGCTGTTGGGGACCAGGGGCGAGCGGGCCTGCCTGCGGCCGCCCTCCCCCGCAGACTGGGCCATGAAAACGCTACCTATGCCAAGGGCTCACAGGCCAGGGGGCCGTTGTGGCCACGAGCCGACCCCCCACCCCCAACTGGCGCCAACAGCATCCTGTGGCCGTTCGCTGGCGCTGTCCAAAGCATGCCCCGCAGCAGCGTCCCCCCGCCCTTCCCCCCCTCCCAGAAGGCCGCCCCCTCGGGCGCGCGCCCGCTTGTGGCCCAGGCGGCCGGCGAGAGACGCAGCAGCGGCGGCGGCGGCGAGAGACGTCGACGGCAAAGGCTGCAGCGCGACGCCCGCCGCCCAGAAGGCCGCGGCGGCTGGCGGCGGCGGAAAGAGCCCGGAACGGGCGGGCGCCAGCGCGGTACCCAAGGCGGGCCCGCCTTGGAGTCCTTCTTGGCCGCGGGGCCCTTCCGGTGGGCCTCCCCGCCCCAGGGTATTCGCGCAATATCTTTGGGCGTTTCGACCACCACCGCCCCCCCTCCCTCATCCGCCTTCCGTACTCCGTCCGTGACGCCGCTGCGGCTGCTGACGAGACCATCGTCCTGATCGACCGACCGACCGACCTCCGCCCGTGCCCCCCGTCCTCCGGGTCTGAATTCCTCCTCCTCCTCTTTCTCCGCCCGCCTGCTCCGCCCTCCTGCTACGCCCTCCTCCTCCGCCCTCCTCCTCCTCCTCCTCCTCCTCCTCCTCCTCCTCCTCCTCCTCATTCGCCCTCCTGCTCCGTCCTCCTGCTCCGCCCCTCCTGCTCCGCCCGCCTGCTCCGCCCTCCTGCTACGCCCTCCTCCTCCGTCCTCCTCCTCCTCCTCCTCCCTCCTCCTCCTCCTCCTCCTCCTCTCCTCCTCCTCCTCCTCCTCCTCCTCATTCGCCCTCCCTGCTCCGTCCTCCTGCTCCGCCCCTCCTGCTCCGCCCGCCTGCTCTGCCCTCCTGCGACCCCTCCTCCTCCGCCCTCCTCCTCCTCCTCCTCCTCCTCCTCCTCCTCCTCCTCCTCCTCCTCCTCCTCCTCCTCCTCCTCCTCCCCCTCCTGTCCCCCGCCCTTACGTGCATGGGGGTGTGCGGTCGCTCGAGGGAGTGGCGCCCCTCGGGTGGCTTATCGGGGCGGCACGCCGAGTGGCGCGTCGCTATGTGAGGGCAGTGCTGGCCGCCTCGGAATTGTCAGAACGCGCGGCGCGCCAAGGTGCGTGTTGCGCGCGGCGCGCTAAGGTGCGTGTCGCCTAATCCGCTCTTGGTGATTTGGCCAGGAAGGCGTTAACATCTCAATGATGGAGAGACTCATTTGGCGGTATCACGTTTTCTCGTGTTCCGCAAGCTTCTTGGCTAGCAAGACTGGAGGGGAGTTGTCAGTCTCATGTTGTATCGCACCTGCAATGGCGGTAATCCTGGTAATCCTCCTCCTCCTCCTCCTCCTCCTCCTCATCATCATCATCCTCATCCTCATCGTTCTCCTCCTCCTCGTCCTCCTCCTCCTCCTCCTCCTCCGACCTCGATTATCCATATTTGGTATCGTTATCCCCTGCGTTGTGTTGTTATTATGTACTCCGTCAAACGGTCATCCATGGTCTCCTCCTCCATGCCGTAGGTATTTATTTTTATCCTCATCGTCCATCACATGTTTCAATTATTGCTCATCCTTTTTTTCGTCCTCGTCATCATCCTGGCACTCTTCCTCCTCCTCATCATCATCATCCTTGCAATCCGTCCTAATCGTACTCCTCCTGACAATCCTCCTCATTCCCCTGCACACTCCCATCCTCGTGCTCTTGCGAGAATGAACGCACACACAAGATCCGAATCAAAAGCGTATTCCGCGATTCCTTCCGGGCAACAGGGGACTCGGTTTCGCTGACAGGTTCCTGCTTCGTTCTTATGGCTTCCAAGTTTCGGTTGTACATGAGAGTTTCGGCTTCCAGCTGTTTGGTTTTATGGTTCGGGGCAGCAGGTTTCACTTTCGATGTTTCGCGGTCATTCTTGACTGGATGGGTTGCATCGTCATCGTTGTCGTCCTGTTCGTCGTCCTCGTCTTGTTCCTGTTCGTTCTCGCGATCCTCATCGTCCCCCTCAGCGTTCGTCCGTGTACTCCTTTTTCCTCATATCACCCTGCCGCTGAACAAAGCCGCTCCATATCATACCAATGCCATGTCCGTCCACATGCGACGACGACTAATCCCACCCAGACAAAGACGAACTCGCCCCTCTTCAGCACCGAATTAATGCCCAGCGCGGCAAGCTCCTCGGTCCTATTCCTTCCCCTTCTGCAGCTTCTGTTCCATCCATCAAACGGGAGGGCCTGCTGGGAAAAGGGGAGGGAACAGAGGGGTAAAGCCAAGCTAGGTGCGCTCGCGTCATATCTGACATCCTACCCCTCCCTCCCATCCCTTACCATGGCGCAGATCCCCTCTCTACTCGCACAGTCGGCTGCCGAGCAGGGCAATGATCCCGAAAGGGTACGCGATGCATTGTAGAGCACGGCATGGCATGGCGTAGAAGAGCACCGCGAAGCGTAGCATCAACCTAGCATTGCAGTGCATGCCGTGGCATGGCACGGGAAATGACGCCAGCGCTGCAGCGGGAGCACGAGTCGAAACGAGCGGAAGCGCGGAAATGAGGCCAGCGCTGCAGCGGGAGCACGATTCGGAACGAGCGGAAGCACGCCGGAATCGGCCCGGGAGCCTTCCTGGGCGCCAAATTCAGCATTTTCAAAAGAAAAATGTGTATTGGAATGGCCTGTTTTCGGCGCCGCCTCGGAACTCGATTTTCCGGCGCCGGCCGGAACGGGCTCCGGACCCGGCCCGGGCGCCGGCGCGGGCGCCGGCTCGGGCGTCCGGCCCGGGCGCTGGCTCGGGCGCCGGTCCGGGCGTCGGAATCGGCCCGGGAGGCCTCCCTGGCGCCAGAAGCAGAAATTCAGCATTTCCAAAGATATGATCGACCCACTAACCCGGAAAGGAATGTAGAAATGTAGCGCATGGTAACGTTTTCAAAGACACCTGATTGGGTGACGGGCATGTGCAATGCTGATTGTATCGATCTTGATGTAATTACCGTGCCGAGGACTGTGCTGTGCCGCACCGCGCTGAATTGCGATGTGCCATGCCGCGGTTGTGCTCTATAGCGTCGTGGATCGAGTCTTCCTTTGCATCCGAGTCCTGACCGAACTGATCTGGATCTGAAGCTCGAGCTGCCTGAACATGTAGAAGCTGCCCCAGAGCTAATTGACAGGGGGACATGCCAGGAGGACGCGCCGCGACACGTCCCAAGGGACGCGCCAGGCGACGTGCCAAGGGACGTGCCATGGGGTCGCACCGCAGGACGTGCCAAGGGGACGCGCTACGGAACGTGCTGGGGACAAGCGTTTCGCTTGAGACATCCTGTCAAGATCCTCATTCTAGATATCCGCCTGAGCGACCTGGACACGTGAAAACAAACGTTTCGCTCAACACATCCTCAACACATTCTCATGCTAGACATCCGCCTGGGCGAACTGGACACATGAAAACAAGTAATTAGTTCGCTCGAGACATCCTCAACACATCTTCATGTGAGACGTCCGCCTGGGTGACCTGGGCACGTGAAAACAAGCGTTTCGCTCGAGACGTTTTCAACACCTCCTCATTCTAGACATCCGCCTTGGCGACCTGTACACGTGAAAGCAAACGTCTCGCTCGAGGCATCCTCAACACATCTTCATGTTAGACATCCGCCTGGGCGACCTGGACACGTGAAAACAAGCGTATCTCTCGAGACATTCTCAACACATCCTCATGATAGGCACCCGCCTGGGCAACCTGGACACGTGCAAACAAGCATCTCGATCGAGGAGAGAGCGTGATCCACCGCCGCTTTACTGTGGAAAATTAGCGCCCTTTTCCTCCGGAACCCGGGGGTCACGAAAATCCCCCCCCCCTGCTGGAACCCCTCCCCCCCCCTCCCTTCCCCCGGCAACCCCCCCCCCTCCCCTAACCCCCCCCCCCCCTCGAGCTCGAAAACCGGGGGGGGTCACTACCGGTTCGAACCCCCCCCCCCCTCGAAAACCGGAGGGGGGGGTCACTACCGGTTCGAACCACTGAGCTGTCCCACTGTTCCCACCACTGTCCCCACTGTCCCTACCACTGTCCCCACTGTACCTCTTTCCCATTGTCCCACCGCCGTCCTCGCCACCGCCTTCACCACTGTCCCCACCACCACTGTACCCTCCACTGTCCTACTGTTTCCACCACATTCCCACTGTCCCCACACCACTGTCCCCACCACCACCGTCCCCACCACTGTCCCACTGTCCCCACTGTTCCCACCATTGTCCTCACCATTGTCCCCACCACTACCGTCCCCACCACTGTCCCACTGTCCCCACCACTGTCCCGCTGTCCCCTCACCACTGTCCCCACCACCACCGTCCCCACCACTGTCCGCACCCCCCCTCGGTTTTCGAGGGGGGGGGGGGGGGTTCGAACCGGTAGTGACACCCCCCGGTTTTCGAGCTCGAGGGGGGGGGGGGTTCGAACCGGTAAGACCCCCCCCCTTTTCATGATGAGCTGGGGGGGGGGGGGGAGAGGTTCGAACCGGTAGTGACCCCCCCTGGTTTTCCGGAGGGGGGGGGGAGGGGGGGAGGGGTTCGAACCGGTAGTCCCGGTAGTGACCCCCCCCGGTTTTCCGCTAGCAGCGATAGAACACGCTCTTTCCGATCGAGACTTCCTCAACACCTCCTCATTCTAGACATCCGCCTGGGCGACGAGGACGCGTGAAACCAAGCGTCTCGCTCGAGACATCCTCAACAAATCCTGGCGCTTGACCTCTGCCTGGGCAACCTGGAGGTGTGAAACCAAGCGTCTCGCTCGAGACACCCTCGAGACCTGGGCACGTGAAGCCATGCATTTCGCTTGAAAGATCCTCTAAATTCTGGTCCCCAGGAGAGTACAATCTATAACACAGAACAAGCGTTTCGCTCGACACATCCGCAACAAATTCTGAACATGATGGACCCACGAACCCGGAAAGGGATATAGACATGTGGAGCATGGGCACGTTTTCACGATACCCAACGGGGCAACACCTCACGAAACATCCCACGAGACACCTCACGAAACATCCCACGAGACACCTCACGAAACATTCCGCGAGACACCTCACGAAACATTCCAGGAGACACCCCGCGAAACATTCCACGAGACACCCCACGAAACATTCCACGACAACAGGCAACCACTCAACCAAGGCGGTGTGGTCGTGCTGGGGAGTGGTCGTGCTGGGGTGTGGTCGTGCTGGGGGGTGGTCGTGCTGGGGGGTGGTCGTGCTGGGGGGGTGGTCGTGCTGGGGGGTGGTCGTGCTGGGGCGTGGTCGTGCTGGGGCGTGGTCGTGCTGGCGTGGTCGTGCTGGGGTGTGGTCGTGCTGTGGTGAGGTCGTGCTGGGGTGTGGTCGTGCTGGGGTGTGGTCTTGCTGGGGTCGGGTCGTGCTGGGGTCGGGTCGTGCTGGGGTGTGGTCGTGCTGGGGTATGGTCGTGCTGGGGTGGGGTCGTGCTGGGGTGGGGTCGTGCTGGGGTCTGGTCGTGCTGGGGTGTGGTCGTGCTGGGGTTTGGTCGTGCTAGGGTGGGGTCGTGCATTTCGCTCGAGACATCCTGCCAAAATTCCAGGAAACGAGACACCTCACGAAACATTCCACGAGACACCTCGTGAAACATTCCACGAGACACCCCACGAACAGGCAACCACTCAACCAGACACGCCACGAAACATTCCACGGGGGTGCGACTGGGTGTGGTCGTGCTGGGGTGTGTTCGTGCTGGGGTGTGGTCGTGCTGGGGAGTGGTCGTGCTGGGGGGTGGTCGTGCTGGGGCGTGGTCGTGCTGGGGCGTGGTCGTGCTGGGGTGTGGTCGTGCTGGGGTGTGGTCGTG